ATGTCTATTCTGTGATTTTATATGATTTTTTGAACATATGCCGTTTTTGGTCGAAAACTCAGAAATCATGACGTCACTAAAACCTCGATATCTCAAAAATTTTCCGACCAATTTTTTTGAAACTTTGTCGCCGTTTTTATGCTATGGCCCGGCGAAAAAAGTGGGGGCGTTTAACGCCCCCCCCCCCCCCAGCAACTCGCGGGTTAAGCTCAAATTAGATCAAGTGACTCATAAGGAGTGAAAAAGCGACAAAAGCATGAATTTCTCTATAGCGGCGGGCTGCCGGGTTGCCAGACGGCGCACCGGTATTTCCACTTTTGACACACCATGCTCCCTTACCTTTAGAGACTCTTAGCTTAGAAAGGGTTCAAAACAGAGCATCAAGGCTCATAACCGGAGCTTTTCGAAGGACACCAACAAATTCACTGCTAGTAGAATTAGGACTTACAACATTGCATACAAGAAGAGAAATAAGCACACTTAACCTTCGCCCCAGTGGGGGGGGGACGTATGTTACCACCCTGTCGCGTTTTTTGCGTATAAATAAAAAACCGCGGCGCGTAGCGCCGCGCCGCTTATCATAGTTTTTTGTACATCAATATTGGACAAGGTGTGAAATATTTGACCCCAGGTCATGTCAGGTCAGGTCACCAGGTCAAGTTAACTGACCAGGCCTAAAAAAAAAGTTTGCTATCATGTCCAGCCTGCAGTGTTTGTCAGAAAGGTTTTAAACTTGGTGGATTGCATGCTGTTATGGGCGCCTACAATTTTTATATCTCGGATTTTTTATATCCGTGACCTAAGGTCAGGTCAGTGGCGTGACCTTACCATTACAAGTCAATGGAGAAAAATGAAAATGCCTCTAGATCCGTGTGTACGCATAGGAACAGTCCAAATATTTCAGAATCACGATGATTTGGACCACCCGTGACGACCAAGGTGTCTTTTTTGATGATAGCCTCTAGAAAGGTCATCCGAGGTCATTTGAGGCTACAAACAGATTTTTGCCAATAACTCTCGATTGGAAAGAGATAGGACGCTGGGGATGGCCTCATTGTGTTTGTCTTGTTGAGACGCATCGAATGATATGCAACATGACCTTTTCCGGTCAGGTCATGACCTTGACCTGAGGTCAAATTTTTAAGTTGACCTTTCAATGTCAAATAATAGTTCATTCGACGCGTCTCGTCGAGAGCAACACGATTCTGATAATAGAAATGTCGTGGCTTTTTCTAGTCAAAAGTTATTGTCGAAAAACACTTTGCGAAAAACAGCTATTTTTGGAATTTTTGCTCTCTGGAGGCTAAACCGTTGACCTGAGGTCAATTTTGATGATAACCTTTTCAAATGAAGAGTTCAAAAGCTATCGATTGCTTTTCCAAGCGTTTTTCTAGCTATCATAGTTGCTGAGATAAATGCATGTTTTCTGAAAAATATAATGACCTTTGGCAAATTTTGACCTTTGATGACCTCCAGTGACCCAAATATTGCTCCAAGATTAAAAATGACCGAAATACTTTCAAACGTACGCATTGAGAGCTATCGACTGCTTTTTACCGCGTCTTTCTAGCCCTCTTAGTTTTTGAGTTAGAGGCAGTGGCGGATCTACGTTGGGGCAAAATGGGCAATTGCCCCCCCCTAAACGGAAAACCTCTGGGCAAACATATCTTTTTGCCCCCCCTAAAAAAACTACAACTTGAATGCTAAAAATATGGTGTTTGAAAAGAAAATGTGAAATAAATGGAGGACTAGAAGGTTGTCATATTCGTGATATTAAGTTGTGAGCTGATAAAAAGTCCTCCGCCCCATGAATGTCAGTCCATCATCCATCAGCAGTGTTACTACTGCTACTGCTACCAAAAAGAAAAAAAATAACGCGATTTATTGAAACCTTGAACCAAGTAAACAAACCGTCAACAGCAGACCGCCAGACGCCTGTCACTCCAGTGGGGTCAGGGGTCACCACACTGGTGAGCGGTTGTACAGTGGTGGGTTTGCATGGGTATATAAGAAGTGTTTGCATAATATTTTATTGCTAGATAGCATGGGTGTAGGAGCTGAAAAAATATTGGTGGGTCTAAATATCCATTAGTACCTAGCATTTCCACTGTGGCTACATTAGTTATGTCCAGAGGCGGATACAGCCATTTCCAAAGGGGGTGCCAAAAGGGTGCCAAAGTCCGAGAGTCTCTACAAGAGCTGCATATGTGTATGCATGAAGTGCGAGATAGGTTTCTGAGAGGAATAACGTAAAGAAGATTACCAATCGCGGCTTTTTCATGAGCCATACCGTTATCTAACGGGGACAAACACAGAAAGGCTCAGTCAGAGCTTTTGGTTTGCGAGGTGTTGGAGAAGCTCAGTATGTTGTGGGAACTTAACGCTGTTCAGTGTGATTCCGTTGGCTGTTGCGCTGTGGTCCTATGTAGTCTGTAGAAGCATCGTTTATCTCCTCTCGAAAGTAACACTGTATAATTTTGCTAGCTCGCGAAGTTTAGTCCCAAAGTTAAGGAATGTTCATTGTAATTGCATCAATAAATGCAGGACCGAAAACAAATGCGCTGTTCTTCGTCTATTTCTTGTTGGGATTCTTAATCGACTGATCTCATTTTCTATTACCGGAAACAACTGTTAATACGTTTAACTACGTGGCAACCCTGACTGCGTATAGTATCGCAGGTACGCTGATGTGGCCTTTGGTCGTGGGCATTTACACATGAACCTGCTGCTGCGACCCTTATCGGTCTCCGGATACAGAAGCCCTTGAGAACCGGCGCGGGCGAACCTTTCGGACGAGGTCTTGCCGAGGTGATGCGGGAGGTAGAGGACGGACCGTCCATAGCGCCGGTGAGCTATTCTCTAACCCGCGCCGGGCCGGTGCTCTGAGATTCCGCGCCGGGCCGCGGGGGGTGTTTGAACACCCCCCTTTTAACTCGGCTCCTGGGCCACGTAGCGACACGCGGTAAGCGGCAATCGAAAGAACGTCAAAAATAAGGACGAAAACACTTCGGTCATTTTTTGGGTCAGGTCAAAGGTCAGGTCACCAGAGGTCACCAAAGGTAAAATGTTGACTATTTCAACATTTTGGAAACTGCCAACGGCTATCTCGGGAACCGATAGAGCTACAGCGCCGCAAAAAAGCGCATTCGATAGCCCTTTTTACAGACCTTTCTGAGTAATGTTCTCAGATTTGACCTCAGGTCAACAGTTTAGCCTCCAGAGGGCAAAAACTCCAAAAATAGCCGTTTTTACGAAAAACGGTTTTTCGGCAATAACTTTTGACTCAAAAGAGCTATGACATTACTTTTGCCAGCATCGTGTTCCTCTCGTCAAGACGCGTCGTATGAAGTGTAATTTGACCTTGAAAGGTCAACTTGAAAATTTGACATCAGGTCAAGGTCATGACCTGACCGGAAAAGGTCATGTTGCATATCAGCTGATCCGCAACGTCGAGCCGAACACATCTAAGGCGTTTTCAGCGCTCTAGCGCTCCTCTATCAGAAGTTAGCATCGAAAAACTGTTAGATTCTGTTCGTGACCTGAGATGACCTCGGGGACATAACGAGGGGTCACAGTTGCCATTTTCTGGTTCAGTGTGTCTATTTTACCTACATCTCGATGTTTGAGAGTGTCTAGAGTAGCGTTCGTGCAAAACAGACGCTTTTCAATTTTCTCCCATTGACTTATAATGGAGAGGCCGCAAAATTGACCTGACCTTAGGTCACCGATATCAAAATTCCGAGATACACATTTTATAGATAGTGTTGCTTTAATCAATCGCTGAAAGTTTCAAGGCAATCGTTCAGTCGGTGTAGCTATGACGAGCATTCTTATTTTTTCTGAGGTGAGGTCACTTGGCGTGACCTGGTGACCTGACCTAAGGTGACCTGGGTCTGAAATTTTCACAACATGTGCGGAAAAGATGCACAAACAGGTGTGCCAAAAACGGCGGCGCTCCGCGCCGCCGTTTTTGAGATATCTGCGAAAAACCGCAAGGGGGTGTTCAAACACCCCCGGCCCGGCGCGGGCTAACTATCTCCCGGAGTCAGGGTGGCTGCAAATTTTTTTTTTGCGCTGCCCTGGCTTGGCCGGACTGACAAAAATGTAAAAAATAAAAAAAGTAATTCCCGAAATCCGAGGAGAAAAATAGGGGTAGCTCGTTTTTTTTTTTTGCCCTAAGACTGGATGTTTGAAATTCTCGCCGACTTGCCTGGCGGCGCAATGTTTGCCCCCCCTAAACTCAAATCCTAGATCCGCCACTGGTTAGAGGTGGGTCGAAAATCGGTGGCGACGCCACTACATGCCGCAACGTGTATCCATGTGTTTGCCCATCAAATGAGGAGCACATTGAGTGGTCATAAACATAGCAAAACGCAATGTACTCCAGTTTACATGCAAACAATATGTGAGAACGAACTTTTGGGACACCCTGTACTCTGATGTATGGGTACAGGTGCAGCACAGCTCCTCTCTATTCATCCGAGGAGGGCCGGCTGGACGCCCTTCGAGCCGGATGGGTGAAGGTGGCATTCGGACTGCCCCGCTTCGCACGCCGCTCCGCCCTCTTGGCGGCCGCCGGTTGGGCACCAGTTCGAGAGTTGTTGAGAACCGCAACATTCTCTGCTCTCAGGTCAGCGATGGTAGCGGAGCATCGCTTAGAACAGGTCATAATCACATCCCTAGCAAAGCTGACCTCGTGCCCCAGCTGGACACCTGCAGATTCCTTCTCAATGTATTAGAACTCAATTTGAAATGCACAGCATCGACTAGCTAGCGGTAATGGAATGACGACTGGGGATCCAGCGGAGCTGACGTTGCGGATGGCGTTGGTGCGGCTCACCTAATGTCCCGGACGGCGTTGGTGCGGCTAACCTGATGTCCCGGACGGCGTTGGTGCGGCTCACCTGATGTCCCGGACGGCGTTGGTGCGGCTCACCTGATGTCCCGGACGGCGTTGGTGCGGCTCACCTGATGTCCCGGACGGCGTTGGTGCGGCTCACCTGATGTCCCGGACGGCGTTGGTGAGGTGCACGCCAGCGCGCAGGCTGTGTGTCACCATGCCCAGCGGCACGTGCTTCCTGTTTCGGCGGCTGTCGTACACCGATATCCGGATGCTGTGCTCCGACAGCCGCCGCTGCGGAATCTGGAGTCACATACTGGCATCAGAGGCGGGCACGTGCAGTCAGAGGCGGGGACGTGCGGTCAGAAGCGGGGACGTGCGATCAGAGGCAGGGACGTGCGGTCAAAAGAGACGGGACGTCAGAGGCGGGGACGTGCAGTCAGAGGCGGGGACGTGCGGTCAGAGGCGGGCCGCGCGCCAGATCCCCTATGTTATGTTTTTTCCTGTCAATCCAGGTCATCGATTCATGACTTTGACAAATGACAGTTTGACAGTTGACAGTTTGACAGTTGACAGGCGTAGAACACGATGGTGACATTCATTTTATCATATGTGCATGACTCATGCATGCAAGATACATGTGCATTTAATATCAGCACAGTGCACAGTGCACACACAACAGTTATGGACTCATTTACATTTTACAACATAAATATCATTTTCTTTTCCTTCAATGTTGGCCATTGAAGGAAAAGAAAATAAGGCAGTGTGACTTGCTGAGTTCAGTGGCAAAATCTTATGACAGCAAGTTTGTCCGGGTTCACAAACATCCAAGCTTTGCACCTTTTTGTTTCCAAGGCAAGTATTTATACCTTTCTTTCATGCTATCCAAAAAAATATTTGAAATATTCATTATCATTTATCTTGAAAATCTTGCGATTTTGGCCTTAGCAATGTCAATGCATCTTCCCTGCTTGCCGCACAACTCAAGTTCCACCAAAAAGTAGTTGGTATTAGTAGCTGGTGCCTTGCAATGTCAAATGTAGGACTGAATTATGAATATGTGAAAACAGTGACATATTTATTTAACCCGCGAGTTGCTGGGGGGGGGCGTTAAACGCCCCACTTTTTCGCCGGGCCATAGCATAAAAACGGCGCGCCGCAGGCGCGCCAAATTTTGGGTACCTGTGGGGAATTGATTGAAGCTTATTGTGACCAAGTTTCAAAAAATCGGTCGGAAAATTTTTGAGTTATCGAGGTTTCAGTGACGTCATGATTTCTGAGTTTTCGACCAAAAACGGCATATGTTCAAAAAATCATATTAAATCACAGAATAGACATACAGACATGCCGTAAACGCCATTAGACTGCCAATAGGTACCATGTACAATCAAATGGCTATCTTCGATTATTGATTATCGTTCCGCATTTTCCAAATTCTTGAACTGAATCTTGGCAATTTCTTGCGACTTCTTCACGACTATGATACATGCATTTCTTAAATTGACATTTTTTAGCCAAACACGTACACATATGATAAAATGAATGTCACCATCGTGTTCTACGCCCCAAATTACCCTTAAAACATGTGTCACAGGCTACGAATATCAGTTTTGATTTTCGGGTGTATGTGCCTGCCCGGTTGACCTGACCCTGACCCTGACCTATGCTTGACTGACCCCTACATGGAGCTGACACTCTTGTAGGCCTTATATGATGGATTGTGCACCGTTTTGACAGAGTTTATGACGAGAGACGCCCTTTGCGAAGTCCTGAAGTCCATGCTACTGAAAGCCCGATTTCACGTGTTTGACCTGACCTTGACCCGACCTGTGACCTATAAATTCAGCTTTGAAGTACTCATCTGAAGCGTCTCGTCGCGTTCTTTCGTTTGCCGCCTCGTGCGTTTCGCTGCGCCTATTGGTTCTCGAGTTATCGGCTGGGGGCGTTTAACGCCCCCCCCCCCCCCCCAGCAAACGGAGGGTGGCGAAATACCCCAGCAACTGCCGGGTTAAAATATTGAGTCCAATGAGCCAATGAGCCTTTCTGTCTCTTCTTCCAGCATTTCTTCAAGCACCTTCGGAAATGGCCTTCCATCATTATTTTCTACTTCCGTGCGAGCAATGAACTTGTAATCTGACCACTAGTTAATACACTATCATCTTACTGTTGGGTGCTGCTTGTAGCAAATAGATAATATAAAATAAAATAAAAACTAACATCACAACACCAAACACCCGTCTTGTTGGTTCCTTTTGGACCTGCCTGGTGACAAAGGCTCTTTCTTTACGCAATATCATCAGTATTCCTCTTCTAATCTTGAAGCCCAGATGCTTTACAAATTGGCCATGAATAATACTAAATTATTATATCGAGAAGCGCAAATCACGATGATTAGTAACAAATGAGGCCGATTATTCCAACACGACATCAAAAAAAAAAATAGACGGGGCTGCCTGTCTATTTTTCTAGGCTGTTTTTCTACATATAATGGCGCAGATAAGCACTCCATTAATATTTGCCGTTGGTGAAACTCGTTGGCTATTTTTCTGGCTGATATTTTTTCACGTCGGCAAATATTTTTTCGCGTGGTTGGTGAAACTCGTCGGCGGATTTTTGATAGAAAAATTGCGTCAGGCGGCTATTTTTCTGTTGGTAAAACTTGCCTCTGACACTCTTTTCGTCCTTATTTTGAAGTTCTTTCGAATAGAGCTTCCCGCATGTCACTACGTGGCCCAGGAGCCGTGCTAGACGGGAACAGCCCCCCCCCCCCCCCCAGGAGGGCGTGAAATCCAGGACCGGGGCGCGGGTCAACTCACCATGAACGAGAACTCCTCATCGAAGCGCGGATTGCAGGTGTTCTTCTTCTGGTGCGACTGCAGATAGCGCCTCTGGTCGGGCAGCAGGTGGACTCTGGCGGGCGCATAAGGTCAGCGGTCAGCGGCTGAGGCCTGTCGGGCCAGCAGTCAGCAGGCCAGCTAACCAGTTTCTCGACATCCAAGGGGCATTCACCCTAGAGATGTTAATCGGATACCAACTTTTTGGTATACCGATACCAAACCGATACCAACTTGGTATTTGGTATTTCAATCGTAATGTGTTTGGTATTTTGTTGGTATCGTGAACCCCCACTAATGTATAAGAGACTAATAAATCGGTAAAAAGTTGGTATTTCCCTCATTTTGCCAAGTTGGCTCGGTTTCGATATTTCCCCGTGGTTTTGGTTGGTATTTGGTTTGGTATCGGTATTCCGATTTTCCGTAATTGACATCACTAATTCACCCTCGACTGTGTGCGGCGTTTTCCAGCGTCTAATGTGTAGGGGGGGGGGGGGCGGTTGGACGGACACACCCTGCCGTTCGGCCCCTGATCAAGCTAGAGCTTTGCGGAAAAAAACGAGCGAGTTGCCCTTGACGAGAAGAAGCCCATGATACCCAAATTTAATTTCATAGGTGATTGGTAGACCTTTCAAGGTCAAGCTATAGTTCATTCGATGCGTCTTGACAAGAGGAACACGATGCCGGTAAAAGTAAGCTCGTACAAGGCTTGGGTCAAAAGTTATTGCAGAAAAACTTTCCGAAAAAATCGGCTTTTTTGCAGTTTTTGCCCCCTGCAGGCAAAACCGTTGACGTTAGGTCAAATCTGAGAAAATTATTCAGAAAGGGCGTTAATAGGGCTATCGAATGCGCTTTTCCACGGCGCTGTAGCTCTATTGGTTCCCGAGTTATGCGTTGGCTTCTTGGAAATTGTCGACATTCGACCTGGAAATCGGCGAAATTTTGCCTTCAATGACCTCTGGTGACCTGACCTTTGACCTGACCAAAAAATTGACCGAAGTGATTTCCTCATTATTTTTTACGTTCTTTCGAACGCCGCCTTCCGCGTATCGCTACGTGGCCCAGGAGCCGAGTTAGAAGGGGGGGGTGTTCAAACACCCCCAGCAGGGCTTGGAAATCCAGGACCCCCAGCCGGGCGCGGGTTTAAGTACTCATCTGACTAAGCGTCTCGTCGCGTTCTTGTTGTTCACCTCAGGTAATGATCAGGGCAGAGCCACTCAGTCCACGAAGCTGGCCCAAAGTGGTCATATAGCTTATTCGATTCGGTAGGTCCTCACAAGTCCTTTGGTGGCTTCCCGACTCGCTAGCTCAATTTGATCGGGACTTTTTTGGTGAAAACTCCTGTGACCTTAGTGACGTCATAAATGGAGTCGCCTAAGATCAAGAATGCAAAAGTAAATGCTGGGGCTCGCAAAGATTGTATAATATCACGAATTAATGCGCTTGAGACAGCTTTAGACGGCTCCCGGCGCCAAAATAACAGTTTTCATATTTCCCCAATGATTAACCCGCGCACCGACGGGGGGGGCGGATATCCGCCCCCCCTGAGGTTTTTCGCGAATAGCGGGAAAACCGCGGCGCGTAGCGCCGCGAAATTTGGTATGACTATAACCTCATCAATTTTACACATGGTGTGCAAGTTTGAACCTCCTACCGTTTAAGGTCAGGTCACCAGGTCATTTTGAATGACCCAACCTCAAATCACTTTTTTGCAACTTTGTGACCGTGCCAGAGCTACAGTAGATGTCGGAAGCCTTTGAAAGTCGCAGGATATTATAAGGTCATTTGTAGCTACAATTTGTATATCTAGGAATTTTCATATCGGTGACCTAAGGTCAGGTCAATTTCGCGACCTCCCCATTATAAGTCAATGGGGGAAAAATCAACTCCCTGTTTTTACCACTAAAACGGGTCGGAATGGCCCCATATACCATACATGACTTTATATACGATCAACCTTCACTACCTTGAGGTCTGTTTTGCTGACGGGCAGCTGTGAGGTCATGTGACGTCATCAAAGGTCACCAAAGGTTTTTGGCCAATAACTCCGTACAGGAACAAGATACAGACGCGTGGATGGTCTCATTGTGTTCAGCTCGTCAAGACGCATCGAATGACATACATGATGACCTCGAGGTCACGTGACCTGAGGTCAACCTTTGCCCTTGACCTTTCGAGGTCAACATATATATCATTCGATGCGGATTGACGAGAGGATCACGATGATGCCCTTAGTTTGTTCCTAGCTTGACTAATTCGAAAGTTATTCGAGAAAAAAACTCTCTCCATATCTAGCGCCGCCATTTTGACTTTTTCGACCCCTGTGACGTCATCTTTGACCTGACCTGAAAATGACCTTTGTAAAAATTGTAGATCTTGGCCGTGCGTATCCGATGCCGTTTACCGCTTGTCGCTATCTTGCTTCGTTCTCGAGATCTCAGGGGGGCGGTCATCCGCCCCCCCCCCCGTCGGTGCGAAGTTGGCGCAGACCCCCGTCGGTGCGCGGGTTAATAATCGTGAGGTTGCGTGACCGACCTGACTTCAGGTGACTCTTAAGAAAAATACGAGATAACTACATACAAGTTGTGAGGCCTCTAGGAGATAGTATGTACCTACTGTGTAGATCATATGTATTTATCATATGATCATATATCATATGATCGTGTATTTTGTGTCATATTAGGTCCACTGTATTGATCGATCTTATTAGGTGTCTTTTATGAAGTGTTCATTGTGTGCTCATATTGCATTGTATATGACGAAGGTCGCAGAATAGCCCTGCACCAGTGGAGCGACCTTATTCGGTAAATACATACATACTGTGTAGATCATATAAGATTCATAACCCAGTGAAAGGTCCCCTGGCACGATGGGTGTTGCGACGTTGCGACATTTTGGGACCTTACAGAGGTTCACTTTTAACGTCATTGGTCAACGGCCTGACCTTAACCTTCGCACTTATAAGAGGGTGTCGAACAGACGCCCCACTCTTAGTTTTTCGCAAACAACTCGCGCAAAAAGCGGCTGTTCTCGACGAAACTTTCAGTACCCTCGAGTTAATCAATATTACGCCTATCCTTAAAATTTTTATGACCCTAACCCAAAAGACCTTTGACTTGTGACCTGTTTTCCAAGACCATGTTTGGTCGGAATCGCGATTTAGCGTATTTCGGCTCACATTAGGAGCGCGTTTATTGTCTTTTTGTGGCTTTAAGCGATCAAACATATGAAAGGAAAGGATGTTGATCCATGGATTCTAGTGGGTGTCAAGATCACGTGAAGGTCAGTCAGGTCACTGACCTTTGATGACCTTAGTTCACTGCTTCGAGTTCTATATGTTTCTAGGGTAGGTTTTGGAGTTGATTTCGCATTTAGAAACCGTTTGAACATTTACGAAGTAGTTTTGGTTCCCTCGTAACATGTGACCTGATGCACGAAAACATCATCTGTGATCAAAACTAACTTGAAATTCGTGATTAGCACCCCCGCAAAACCTTATAACAGCCTCACTTAAGAAGCTTTAACAGGTCCCGATTTTCCCGACTTTTGAGTATATATTGACCTATCAACAAATGACCTAGGACCTTAAACTTGGGTATCAACGGCCTCCTTTCGTCACGGGCAACACGCTTTTTTTCCGCGAAGCTCTAGCTCGATCAGGGGCTGAACGGCAAAGGGGTCCAACGGACCCCCTCCCCTTTACGCTAGACGCTGGCAAAACACCAATATGCGCGAGGGTTAAAGGTAGTGTGCCACCTTTGAAAGATTTCCCATTTTATTTTTCCTAGGATCAGAAGCTTCTGTTTTTACCTAATATCGCAAAAAAAAAAATCAAAAATGGGCCTGGAATAGTGCCTTTTTCGCCTAAAAGTTTTTCGGTTTTTAGATATGTATAACAACTGTAGTGGGCTCACCTGCAAACAGGCGTCGGGCAACAATCGCGAATGCGGCGCACTTGTGACAATAAGCAAAGGTCATTATAGTGTTGCGACCATACGACGTACGGGAATGAGTTATCAGCTGTCTAATCGTAGACAACACAATGTCGAGCCTTAAACTGTAAGCCCGTATTGGTATTGTTTCTTTTATTTGGCTGTCGAACATTATTTATGGTTTGAAATATGATTTTATGTAAAATAATTGATATGAAAAAGCCGTCAAGTATAAGTTATGACCCCATTTCACCACACGCAAGTGGCAGAAATGACAATGATCAGCTGACGCATTTTTCTTGGCCGAAGTCAGAGCGCGCGGCCCGACGCACCACGCGTATTTGGAAATTCCGACCTCGACGAGCATCAGAAGCCACCTAACAGGCGTGTTCGAAACCGCAGGAGATGATGATGAACGGGTTTATCGAAACTTGATTGGATGAGCATATCGGTAATAGCGATTTCAGTGTGTGCATTTATTGTTCATAGTGGTGTGAAATGTGGTTGGGGTACGACCGACAACCCGTCGGGGCGAATTTCGCACTGGGGTACTCAAAATTTGAAGAATTTAAGACGTTTCCATGAGTTTTGAAGGTATGGATAAGTTCTAAAAATCCGGTTCTCCTTATCTGGGCCATTAACTCCATACGGTCCAGGAAAGCTGGCACACTACCTTTAAAATACAGCAGCTGTCATACAAAGTCGGCTGGAATCAAAGGTCAGGTTTGCAGAATTTCAGCTCTCGCAGCAAATAGACAATGGTCGAGACTGTCGTCAGCCGCGGACGCACACTCGACCAACTCTCCAAGCCCGTTGACTGCAGGTGACCTTGACATGTCAAGCCTGATCGGCCGCCGGCCGCTGTCGTGCGGTCGTTACACGCAGAGGGGAGGGAGACACAAAGCTCTACGTTATAGCTGACCTCTGACCTTTCCCCGTGCCCTGGTCATTGAACCCGCTCCATGCCGCTGGGCGGTGGCATGGCGGTGGAAACTGGTTCTAGCCTCTATACATGCCACCATTCTAACGCTCCCCTCCCCACGCTACTACGCGGCGTGGAGTACGCTCGTGCGTAACTGGGCGGAGCAAGGGGCCACGCGATACAGGGGCGGAACTGGTTGCCCTCCCGCTGGCCGAGCGACCAACGAGTAACGACTAACGACCCTGTAGAACCGTACGTCCGCGCTTGTTCGTTTCGCCGGTTGACCCCCCTCCCCCCCCCCCCCCTATAAGTGCGGGGTCAACACTCGCTCTGGTCTGGTGTCGTCAGTTTGCATCGAGGACCTGATGACCGGGCTGTGGTCTGACCGGGCCCTGCTCTGACCTCACCTGATGACCGGGCCCTGCTCTGACCTCACCTGATGACCGGGCCCTGCTCTGACCTCACCTGATGACCGGGCCCTGCTCTGACCTCACCTGATGACCGGGCCCTGCTCTGACCTCACCTGATGACCGGGTCACAGGAGTCCGGCTCATCTCGACTTCTCTGCGGCAGTTTCTTGGCCTTGATGATGGTGACGGTGAGCTTCTCTTCTGAGGCGGTGTAGGACACAGATAACCACAGCCGACCTGCGCACAGGACACAGGTGTAACCATAGCCGACCTGCGGCACAGGACAGAGAGAACCACAGCCGACCTGCAGCACAGGACACAGGTGTAACCACAGCCGACCTGCGGCACAGGGCGGCACAGGACACAGACAACCACAGATGACCTGCGGCCAGGGCTGGGAAATCTCTCATACTTCAATGCCCCAGTAGTTAGCAGATACCGCTTTATTATTCCAGCAGAGTAGCAGAATAAGCATTTCTCTCTTTCGCTCTATTTGCCATCAGGAAATAACATAGGTACAACAAAAAAAAAGATATTGAATCAAGCATACTTGTAAAGCAAAAGCTCCTACTGCATGCGTGTGATCTCCCATGACAAATAAGAGCAAAACATTGTGAAACGCTTAACAAGCCGGACTAGAACAGCCTGCTGTTCCGGGACGTGGCGGACGCCAGGTCCTGGTTAGTCCTGATTCTGAACATGCGCCGTACGCGGGCAAAGCCAAAGAACCGGACCCCAAACTCCACATCACTGGAGCGTTAACCCGGCAGTTGCTGGGGTATTTCGCCACCCACCGTTTGCTGGGGGGGGGGGGGGCGTTAAACGCCCCCAGCCGATAACTCGAGAACCAATAGGCGCAGCGAAACGCACGAGGCGGCAAACGAAAGAGCGCGACGAGACACTTCAGATGAGTATTTTAAAGTCGAATTTTGAGGTCACAGGTCGGGTCAAGGTCAGGTCAAACACCTGAAATCGGGCTTTCAGTAGCATGGACTTCAGGACTTCGCAATGGGCGCCTCTCGCCATAAACTCTGTCAAAACGGTGCACAATCCATCTTTTAAGGCCTACAAGAGTGTCAGCTCCATGTAGGGGTCAGTCAAGCATAGGTCAGGGTCAAGGTCAGGTCAACCGGGTAGGCACATATCCCCGAAAATCAAAACTGATATTCGCAGCCTGTGACACATGTTTTATAGGCAATTTGGGGCGTAGAACACGATGGTGACATTCATTTTATCATATGTGTACGTGTTTGGCTCAAAAAGTTCAATTTAATAAATTCATGTATCATGGTCGTGAAGTAGTCACGAAAAATTGCCAAGATTCAGTTCCAGATTATGGAAAATACGGAACGATAATCAATAATCGAAGATAGACATTTGATTAATCATGGTATTGGCAGTCGAATGGCGTTTACGGCATGTCTGTATGTCTGTTCTGTGATTTTATATGATTTTTTGAACATATGCCGTTTTTGGTCGAAAACTCAGAAATCATGACGTCACTAAAACCTCGATATCTCAAAACATTTCCGACCGATTTTTTTGAAACTTTGTCACAATAAACTTCAATCAATTCCCTGCAGGTACCCAAAATTTGGCTCGGCGGCCGACCTGCCTGTGAGGAGCTGCTGGCCCGGCGGCTGACGCATGTCGGCACCATCTGATCACCACTCGTCGGCGCCTACCAGAGCAGGCGAACAAGACGGATGGCCGCCAGGAGCACTCCACGAGCTTGTACTGGTCGGAAAACATCATGCTGGCCTCCATAGGCGTAGGAACGTTTTCGAAAGTGTGGGGGGGGCAGGGTCCCAGAGGTCCAAAACCTAACCTACCCCCAAAATCCAATTTCTCCTCGGATTTCGGCCACTTTGTTTTCGCAGCATGCTCAGAGGTAAAAAAAAAAATCGAGACAAAAACGAAAACAAAATTGGTTAAAATTTCAGGGAGACTCCCGTCCAAAAACTCAAACTATTAACTGATGGACGGACGCGTTCCCCTGTCCTCCGCAGCCGTTGTCACCCATGCAAATTCCAGAGGCATCCAGCAACTTTTCCATTACGAGCAAGCGTGAAACGTGCAAAGCGAGTCTTTTCAATATAGGTACCTACCTATAAAAAGCAGCATGAACGGCCCAGCTAGTCTCAGCCAGGCCTATAACGTTTTTAAAAGGTTTATATCAGCCACCACTGCAACTGGGCTGATTGACTATCAGAGGCCGGTGTGGGACTTTTAGAGGCCGGTTTGGGCCCTCAGAGGCCAGTTTAACCTTCGACCTATAGGACCTATAGGTTTTCTACATACGCGCCGGCCGAGGGGGCGGGGGGCGGGTACATCGGCGAATTTAAGGTCCTAGGTCACCCGGTGACCTCTGAGGTCAGGTCAAGTGCCCCAAGGTACGATTCAGTTTTTGGTGAATAACTTCGCAAAAATGGCCGCAGAGCCGCGATTTTGGCAGCATCGTGTTTGCCTCGCTCAGGCGCGTCGAATGGTATACTTTTTGTTCGGGTCAGGTCAACTTGGGGTGTTGACCTCAGGTCAAGGTCAGGTCAGCAACCCCAGGTCACGAAGTTAGTCGAAAGAGGTCATGTCGCATATCATTCGATTCGGCAGGTCTTCCTGAGTCCATTGGTGGCTTTCCCGACTCGCTAGCTCAATTTGATCAAGAGTTATTGACGAAAAACTAATATGACCTTGATGACGTCATAAATGACGTCACGCAAGGTCAACATTGCAAAAGTGACGCATCTTACCTTGCAAGGAGTGCATCAAATCACGATTCTGTGTGCTTGAGATAGTTGGACATCGTTCCCGGCGCCAGAATAGCAGTTTTCATTTTTCCCCGTTGACTTATAATGGTGAGGTCACGAAAATGACCTGACCTCATATGACCTTTAGGAAAAATCCGAGATAGACAAGTTGTGAGACTCGTAATGGATACTAGATCCTGCAAGTTTCATTTCCCTGTGAAAGCTCCTCTGGCAGTGAGGGCGTTGCGAAGTTGCGACATCTGAAGACCGTGCAGAGGTTCACTTATGACGTCATAGGTCAGTGACCTGACCTGACCCGAAAATGCAGTTGGTGTCAAAAGATCCGGTTTGAATCAAAGGTCAGGTATGCCAAGTATCAGCTCTCTATCATTAGCGTGTTCGGAGCTATCACGAAAAAACCCTAGGGGGGGGGGGCACCCGCCCCCCCCCCCTCGGCCGGCGAGGGTTAAGTGACCTGGGTCTAAAATTTTCACAGCATATGTAGAAACGATGTATGATAATGTGTGCGAAAAACTGCAGAGGAGTGGTGTTCAACCACATACACCCCCAGCAGGGCGCGGGATAAGAGCCAAAGTTATTTTTTCGAAATTCGAAAAAGGAATATATATGATAGTCCCTACCGTGTTCTGTCCAGATACCGAATTTGGGACCAATACCTCATTTTTGACCAAGTTATAACGAAAAAAAAACTTTTGAAAATTGATGACGTCAAATTTTCCAAATCAACTTTTAGCAATTCTAAACCTCGTAGCGCAAATAAAGACCACCATTAGAATCCCCGTGACGAGCTGCATCGAATCGATACCAAATGTATGCAAACACCAAATTTCAAATTTGACCTAATCTGACCTGACCTTGACCTAACCTTCACCAGAGCATAGTCTAAATTGGCCCCAAAGGCTGCCTGACCCACATAATCGCATTTGTCATGTAAAACGGTTAGCCCGGCGGCCGCTGGGCCTCCGCGCCACCCGCCGGCCACTGGGGGGGGGGGGGGCATATAGTTGCCCCCCCCCCCTTTACCTCTGCGACGAATGACGATATCGTCGCAACGCGAGAAGATAGAGAGGCGAAACTTTGCACACATCCTGAAAGGTTCTGACTGACGGCGACTGGTCAATATGTGAGAGCTGTTGTCGGCCGGCTGCCCGCCGGTATATGGGGCTGCCCGGGCTGGCCGGTATATGGGGCTGCTCGGGCTGGCCGGTATATGGGGCTGCTCGGGCTGGCCGGTATATGGGGCTGCTGGGGCTGGCCGGTATATGGGGCTGCTCGGGCTGGCCGGTATATGGGGCTGCTCGGGCTGCCCGGTATATGGGGCTGCTGGGGCTGGCCGGTATATGGGGCTGGCCGGTATATGGGGCTGCTGGGGCTGGCCCGGTATATGGGGCTGCTGGGGCTGGCCGGTATATGGGGCTGGCCGGTATATGGGGCTGCTGGGCTGGCCGGTATATGGGGCTGCTGGGGCTGGCCGGTGTATGGGGCTGCTGGGGCTGGCCGGTATATGGGGCTGGCCGGTATATGGGGCTGCTGGGCTGGCCCGGTATATGGGGCTGCTGGGGCTGGCCGGTATATGGGGCTGCTGGGGCTGGCCGGTATATGGGGCTGGCCGGTATATGGGGCTGCTGGGGCTGGCCGGTATATGGGGCTGGCCGGTGTATGGGGCTGCTGGGGCTGGCCCGGTATATGGGGCTGCTCGGGCTGGCCGGTATATGGGGCTGATAGGGCTGGCCCGGTATATGGGGCTGCTCGGGCTGGCCGGTGTATGGGGCTGCTGGGCTGGCCGGTATATGGGGCTGGCCGGTATATGGGGCTGCTGGGGCTGGCCGGTGTATGGGGCTGCTGGGGCTGGCCGGTGTATGGGGCTGCTGGGGCTGGCCGGTATATGGGGCTGCTGGGGCTGGCCGGTATATGGGGCTGCTGGGGCTGGCCGGTATATGGGGCTGCTGGGGCTGGCCGGTATATGGGGCTGCTGGGGCTGGCCGGTGTATGGGGCTGCTGGGGCTGGCCGGTATATGGGGCTGGCCGGTATATGGGGCTGCTGGGGCTGGCCGGTATATGGGGCTGGCCGGTATATGGGGCTGCTGGGCTGGCCCGCTCCGCTCACCGAGTGCGGCGTGCTGCTCCGTCTGGTCGTCCTCGGTCTGGTCTCCGTCCGTCAGCCGGTATAGGTCCGGGTCCAGCCGTCCCAGAGCCGCTCTCTCTGCCGAGCGGCAGCAGCGTCAGTGGGACAGCGTCAGCCACTGATTTCGAAAACATCAGCACTGGCATCAGTAAACGTCACTCACACTAGTCACAGCATCAGTTACAATTGGTCACAACCAGACATGTGCATGGATCTGAAAGGTGGGCCTTTGATCCTCGTGGATCTCTCGACAAATTTTACAGGCTGGATCTATGATCTCAGTCACAGACTTCTCTATATATAGAGAGAAGTCTGTGTCTCAGTGGATCTCTCGACAAACGTTAAGGTTGGATCTATGATCTATTGTCATTTCGCGACAATTCTGTAGGTTAGGATCTATGATCTATGTGGATCCCACGGACAATAATTGGGGATACCTATGACTTGTATGGATCTCACGACATGATGTACTTGAACTTGAACAGAGATCCAATAGTGAAGTTGTTTCTGAGAATGAATCGTGTGTTTCGATATGGGTGGCGGAGCGCCGATGGAGGGCAGCTGGTCTGGGGTGCCCACCAGTGCCCACCAGTCGGCTTACTTGGTGACCGGCTGAAGAAGACGGCTGACGGAGAGCCGGCGCGCGCCTCGCTCGGAGACGATTCGGCCGACCAGTACTGGGAGCCCAGCGGCGACGGCGTGCCGCTGCGCCAGCCGTCGGCGCCCGCCGGCTCTGCCGGCACAGCGCGGCGCACATAGACATACATACATACACATATACACACACATACACACACACAGCGAACACGAGCGCCGCCTACACCACATGTCGTCCCCCAGGCCAGTCGGCTGTATGGTGACCTCAGACGGTCGTTAAGAAGAATACATTAGAATATAATTAGATAAGTAAAAGAAATTGACCTTTTCCTCGACATTAAAAATGCAAAAGCCGAATAATGTATTTAAAAAAGGTAAATGTTAAGTGCTGGAGCGAGGAACATATTGAATATAATTAGATAAGTAAAAGCAATTAACCTTTTCCTCGACATTAAAAATGCAAAAAGCCGAACAATGGCTACGTTTCCATGACACAAGCTAAGCCGATTTTGAAAAATGGATTTGCTCCATCATAGCATTAAAGGGACCCTCCCACCTTTAAAAAAGTTAATGAATTGGCATGAAAGTGATGTCGCTCGGTTCAGAAAGAGCGAAAACGAATATCTACCAAATTTCATCGAAAAATATTCACTGGTTTTCAAGATATTAGACTTTTACGATTGTTTACTTTTTGGGATCTCCGCTGTTCCTAGTGACTTTATTTGAAAGTGCGGCATTTGTTGCGCGCAAAGCAGCATATACCACCGCGTGCTACAAAACGTTTTAGTCAAACATTTCAAAATCGTTAGATATCTGCGCTGACGTCACACATTCAGAGGGGTATTGCTATGCATTAGCCTCTCTGAATCAAAATGCTGCAATTTTGAAATTCAATATTTCCGATTTAAGGCATTTCTGGATGTTGTGAGTGCCGAAACCGGTAATTGTGAGCCAGGGACCCCATTTTGGCTATCTCAACTCAAATCTAATGTTAAAGGGACCCTCCCACCTTCAAAAAAGTTAATGAATTGGCATGAAAATGATGTCGCTCGGTTCAGAAAGAGCAAAAACGAATATCTACCAAATTTCATCGAAAAATATTCACCGGTTTTCAAGATATTAGACTTTTACTTTTGTTTACTTTTGGGATCTCCGCTGTTCCTAGCGACTTTATTTGAAAGTGCGGCATTTGTTGCGCGCAAAGCAGCATATACCACCGCGTGCTACAAAACGTTTTAGTCAAACATTTAACGGACGTTCGAAAGCCTGATGACGTCATCAGATTCCCGTAATGGTTAAGAGATAGGGACCAAGCTGGTCCCACCCTGCAAGTAAAGGGAAGAAATTTCTTGAGCACCATAAAGCTGCGGGGGTTGCGACAAGGATAAATGGTGGTTTCTGAGCCTGGCCGCAAACTTGGCTATCTCAACTCAAAACTAATGTTAAGGTGGGAGGGTCCCTTTAAGGTGGGAGGGTCCCTTTAAGGCATAATTTAAAAATGTAAATACAGGATTAGGTGCTAGCTAAAACCATATATACGCTCATTTTTTGCATAAGGTAGGTAAATAGTTTCCGAGAAAAACGCACGTGAAATATCGCTAAATCGATTTACAGCATTTTAGGCGCGATTTCAAAAAGTCAAAGACCAAATTCAAAACGTTCACGTGCATTTTGAACGTAAACTTTTTGAATTTGGCCTTTAACTTTTTGAAATTGCGCCTAAAAAGGTGTAGACGTGTCATGGAAACGTAGTGAATGTTACCAGGAATACATTAGTTTAGGATTAAAGTACGTCGGTGAAAAAAACAAACTTGTAAACAGAGATATTGAATGGAAATAACAAAAGACAATGTTTGCTCTGGTACAGTGATCGGTAGGTTTTCCGGGTCGTGCCCCCTCTCCTTTCTGGGCGCCTCGCGGGGCCATAACGCGCCCCCTCCCCTCCACCAGACCTATTACGTACTGAAATAACCAATGTTACTGAAACTCCATAGATAGTTGTCGAGTTGACCGGTAGACGTTGACCCGGCCGGACGTTTGCGGCGCTCGGACCGCACCCCGCGCGGCTGGCGGAGCGAGAGAGCCGGGCCAGCTAGTGTTGTAGTGTAGCGTGAGTCGCGTGTGGGTCTAGATATCACCAAAAAGCGAAAGGCGTGTTCTCCAAAAGATGGAGGACAGGACAAAGTGAACTTTGAGCTAAAGAAATTCATCGTGGAAGAAGACGCGAAATGTGTTCGTGAGATAAAGGCCGCGAGTGACGGGCGCTTAGTGGCGATCGAGGAGTCACTCACTGTCTTTCACAATGGACTCGATCACTGCGGTGTCTAACAGGCAGTATTCCGCTGATCCGGACATTGTCCAACTGCGTAAGGAGACAGCCCACCTCAGACGGCGAGTTCAGGAGCTGGAGCGAGGGGAGCAGAGGCTGGCATGCCTGTTTTTTCTCCGGGCCGGCGGTTCAGACGCACACCCAGCGGGACCAGGCAGTGAGGCAGATTCAGTCTGTGGTGCGACAGTATCTGAACCACACCCTGGATGACAGGCAGGTCAAGGCCGTCATAAGACTGCAGAATGGAAAGATACTGCTGGAGTTTACCTCCCTTGCAACAGGCTCCAACAGACATCCTTTTCCGGTCAAAAGCAAGGCTGAATGGTTCCGGCCTTTCTATCGCCGAATCACTTATGCCACGCAGGCAGGCCATGTTTTTGGAGCTGCTGAGAATGAAGGAGGGGAGGATCCACTCGGTGTTTACCAATATATCTCACGACAGTTGCCGGCTGGCCAAATGCTATACTTAAAAAACGAAGATAGCTGGTCATCGCTGAGCTGTAAGCCAGTTTTTTAATGATACAATTGAACATTCTCCGGGTAGTGCCTCTCTTTGGTTGCAAAAAGGAAATACGCCTGACTCCCCCAGCGCTTGGGGAGAAAGGCCCGGCTTAGCCAAGAGAAGTATTAAAAAACGGAATTTGATTTGTAGGTGGGGTGGAGGGGAACTTAATCGTGTACCAATTTCATAACCCTAGATGAATACATTCAAGGTCAGGTGAGGTTAAACGTGATCAAATTTAACAAAGTGACTATTTTGCGTTTATACACCAATAGGCAATAGCTCTAAGAGTTACCGGCCGATTTTCCTTTTTTTCTTTATTCGATATTTTAGGCATGTTAACCCTCGCCCGTATAGGGGGGGGGGGGTCGAACGGACCCCCCCCCCTATGGTTTTTCGCGAATAACTCGCGTAAAAAGCGGCCGATCGCGACGAAACTTTCAGTACCCTCGCGTTAATCAATTTTACATCTACTCTGAAAATTCCATGACCCTGACCCCAATGACCTTTGACCTGTGACCTACTTTTCGAGACCATGTTTGGCCGGAATCGCGATTCGGCGTATGTCGGCTCGCATTAGCCGCGCGTTTGCAGTCTTTTCGTGGTTTCAAGCGTTCAAACATGTGATATGATGTTGCCCCCATGCGTTAGAGTGGGTGTCAAGGTCACCTGAAGGTCAAGTCAGGTCATTGACCTTTGATGACCTCGGTACACTTTTTCGAGTTTTACATGTTTCTAGGTCAGTTTTTGCAGCTGAATTCGAATTTAGCAACCATTTGAACATTTACGAAGTAGTTTTGGTGCCTTCGTAACATGTTACGAAGCTATCAGAGGCGGTTGACACCTACTAGGAATACCCGGCAGGATCCCTACTGGTTGACCTGACCTGACCTGACCCGACCCGGACTAAATGCATGAAGACATCATCTGTGATCAAAACTAACATGATATTCGTGATCAGCACCCCGAAAAACCCCGTAGCAGCCACACTTTACGACGTTCTAACAGGTCCCGATTTTCCCGACTTTTGGGTCATTGACCTGACCTGCAAGGTCAACCAATGACCTAGGACCTTAAAATTAGGTATCATCGGCTTCCTCTTGTCACGGGCAACACGCTCGTTTTTTCCGCGAAGCTCTAGCTCGATCAGGGGCGAAACGGCAAGGGGGGGGGGGTCCAACGGACCCCCCCCCCCCCTTATACGTTCTCGGCTGGAAAAACACCAATACGGGCGAGGGTTAAGAGAATCTCTAGTTAATCTAACCAAAAATTTGGCAGTTAGTGGCCTGCTAAGAGTAAGCTGTCGCCGGCAGAGTCGTGGGTCGGCCGACGCGGGAAACGTTTCAGTCACAATGTTGTGTTTGCACCTTAATAATTCAACTTTTTACTAATTTATTTTCTTTTTTTTACCATAAGATTGCCTGTACATTTCTAAGCCTTCACACAAGATTTGATGCGGATCGATCATAATCAGCGGTAAGAAGCGCAGTGCAAAGATGAAACCGTCCCGCGCCGGCCCGGCACAGTCTACCATTCAGGTGGCGAGTATCGGCCGGCGCCGGCCGCCGCGCCGCCCCGGCAGGATGTTTGATTTTACACCGCTATTACTAAAAAAAAATTGTGGACTGATTTACCTATTGCTTGCACGGGAAGATTCGCAATTTGATGTTGGACAGGTACTGAAAATTTGACGTTAATATAATGATTGCGGCGTGATTTATTCGCGAAAACAGGTGAGATTGGCGAAATCCACCCCCTTCCACTGCGCGTGCACGTTACACTTCTTGTTGCTATATCATCTTAAGTTATCGTTGGCCCACTCTAATCTTCTCAGCACGTGTGCCTTAGGTGTAGTGGAAGACAATACCGTAAAGTGGGGCTATTTGAGACAGTGGGGCTATTTGAGACAGTACGGCAATGGCTTCGTAAAATTGCTGTAAAATTAAAACCGTTTGATATTTTTGATCAATTTTTGCTCAGGTAAATTTGGAATTTTGCAATGAATTCCATGGATAGGGTTTTTGAAAATTTTGAAAAGTTCTGAAAGAAATTTGGCATTAAATGAGAAATACAGAAAACCCACAATTTAAGTTATACGAAAAGCACCCCTACCTGCAGCTTAACCCGCGCCCGGCTGGGGGTCCTGGATTTCCACGCCCTGCTGGGGGGGGGGGTGTTTGAACACCCCCCCTTCTAACTCGGCTCCTGAGCCACGTAGCGATACGCGGAAGGCGGCGTTCGAAAGAGCGTCAAAAATAATGACGAAATCACTTCGGTCAATTTTTTGGTCAGGTCAAAGGTCAGGTCACCAGAGGTCATTGAAGGCAAAATTTCGCCGATTTCCAGGTCGAATGTCTAAAACTTCCAAGAAGCCAACGCATAACTCGGGAACCAATAGAGCTACAGCGCCGCGGAAAAGCGCATTCGATAGCCCTATTAACGCCCTTTCTGAGTAATTCTCTCAGATTTGACCTAACGTCAACGGTTTTGCCTGCAGGGGGCAAAAACTGCAAAAATGACCGATTTTTTCGGAAACAGTTTTTCTGCAATAACTTTTGACCCAAGCCTTGTACGAGCTTACTTTTACCGGCATCGTGTTCCTCTCGTCAAGACGCATCGAATGAACTATAACTTGACCTTGAAAGGTAAACTTGAAAATTTGACCTCAAGTCAAGGTCATGACCTGACCGGAAAGGGTCATGTTGCATATCAGTCGATCCGTATCGTCGAGCTGAACACATCTAAGGCGTTTTCATCGCTCTAGCATGCCTCTATCAAAAGTTATTTGCGAAAAACTGTTAGATACCATTCGTGACCTAAGATGACCTCAGGGCATAAACAAGGGTCACGGACACCATTTTCATGTTCAGTGTCTCTAAACCACTTGTAATTCGGTGTTTGGGAGTGTTTATAATGTCTTTCGTCCAAAACAGGCGCATTTCAATTTTCTCCCATTGACTTATAATGGGGAGGTCGCAAAATTGACCTGACCTTAGGTCATCGATATCAAAATTCTGAGATATACATTTTGTACATGCTATTGCTCTTAGCAATCGCTGAAAGTTTCAAAGCGATCGGTCACTCGGTGTAGCTATGACAGACATTGAAACTTTTTATGAGGTGAGGTCACTTCAAGTGACCTGGTGACCTGACCTTGAATGACCTTGGTCTGAAATTTTTCGAACATGTGTAGAATTGATGCATGATTAGGTGTACCAAAAACGGCGGCGCGGAGAGATATTCGCGAAAAACCACAAGGGGGGGGGTGTTCAAACACCCCCCCAGCAGGGCGCGGGTTAACATGGTTGTATGTATGTATGTATGTATTACAATCATGGACAATCCACACGGGGCGTGGCGATTACAGTCCAGAGTCTGAGACGGGTTGGAACAAAAACATGCAGGGGCAGTAGAACACAGGCATAACGATTTAATCACTGGACACTCACTCTCTATATACATACGGACAATTCAAGTCAGCGCGCCACACACGGCTGCGGGTACCCCCTCCCCCTGACATGAGTCAGCGTCGGGCGGTCGCGAACGCCGGACAGACTGCAGCCTTGGCCGCACGGGCGAATTGGGCGGGGCGCTGTTCGATGACACCGGGAGGCAGACTGTTGAGTAGCGCCGCGGCCCGGTAGCCGAACCGTCGCTTGCCTGTCTCGAGCCGCGAGCGTGGGAGGTGGAGAAGGTGGTCTTGCCGGGTGGACCTCTTTCGCGCGTCACTGTTATAAGTGAACATAGTAGCTAGTTCTTCGGGCTCGCCGTTCCTTATTATTTTCTGAGCAGTTACGAGGGTTTGAATATCGGCCATAGTTTTCGGAGGTATCCATCCAAGCGAGTCGCGGAGGCCAGAGACGTGGTCGAATTTACGGCGGCCGAAGATGACCCGTGCTGCGAAGTTCATAATTTTTTGGAGCCGGTCAAAGTTTTTCCGGGAGCCATTTCCGTAGACAGTGAGGCAGTACTGGACGCGCGAGATGACAAGTGCCGTCACGATCGTTTTGAGGATGCCGTCTGGGAGACAGTGTCGTGCGTGGGAGAGGCCGATCAGTACGCCCATGCAACGACGGCTCAGCTCGGCTACGTGTGCCTCCCAGGTGAGTGCGCCGTCGAATACAACACCCAGGTTTCCCACCTGAGTACACGGCTGGAGCTCAGCGTCACGGAATGAGATTTTGAAGCGAGGCAGTTTACGTAGATTTTGTCGACTACCGAATACCATGAGTTGAGTTTTAGAAGCGTTGACTTTCAGGGCGTGTGCGCAGAACCAGGCGTTAAGTGACGCGAGTGATGCCTCCATGCGCGAGATGAGGCTCCTAATGTCGTCGCGTGGGCCGCTCACCAATATCTGGGTGTCGTCGGCGTACTGATAGGCGGTGGCATCTCCAGCAAATAGGGAAAGGTCATTCGAGAATATTGTGAAAAGCAGGGGACCCAGCGCCGATCCCTGGAAAACGCCCACGGTGTTTGGGAGCGGTCGGGAGGTCATCTTACGGCCGGTTTTGTCTTTCAGGGACA